AGTTATCTTGGGCATAGCATTTTACCAAATCACCTCATTCTTTGGGGCAACACGTGAGGAACACAAATGCGAACAAGCCTGAATGGTCCCCAGGACATATGCAACTGAAAACTCACACCCCAGAAGTGACTCGAACCCATACTCCCAGAAGCAACGCAACTGGTATGTACAAGACGCCTTAATCCACTTGACCATCACGACCGGACATAATGAGGTGATAGCCGAGGCTATTTGAACCACCCCACCGCCGGCACTCGGATAGTTATCTTGGGCATAGCATTTTACCAAATCACCTCATTCTTTGGGGCAACACGTGAGGAACACAAATGCGAACAAGCCTGAATGGTCCCCAGGACATATGCAACTGAAAACTCACACCCCAGAAGTGACTCGAACCCATACTCCCAGAAGCAACGCAACTGGTATGTACAAGACGCCTTAATCCACTTGACCATCACGACCGGACATAATGAGGTGATAGCCGAGGCTATTTGAACCACCCCACCGCCGGCACTCGGATAGTTATCTTGGGCATAGCATTTTACCAAATCACCTCATTCTTTGGGGCAACACGTGAGGAACACAAATGCGAACAAGCCTGAATGGTCCCCAGGACATATGCAACTGAAAACTCACACCCCAGAAGTGACTCGAACCCATACTCCCAGAAGCAACGCAACTGGTATGTACAAGACGCCTTAATCCACTTGACCATCACGACCGGACATAATGAGGTGATAGCCGAGGCTATTTGAACCACCCCACCGCCGGCACTCGGATAGTTATCTTGGGCATAGCATTTTACCAAATCACCTCATTCTTTGGGGCAACACGTGAGGAACACAAATGCGAACAAGCCTGAATGGTCCCCAGGACATATGCAACTGAGTTTTCAGTTGCATATGTCCTGGGGACCATTCAGGCTTGTTCGCATTTGTGTTCCTCACGTGTTGCCCCAAAGAATGAGGTGATTTGGTAAAATGCTATGCCCAAGATAACTATCCGAGTGCCGGCGGTGGGGTGGTTCAAATAGCCTCGGCTATCACCTCATTATGTCCGGTCGTGATGGTCAAGTGGATTAAGGCGTCTTGTACATACCAGTTGCGTTGCTTCTGGGAGTATGGGTTCGAGTCACTTCTGGGGTGTGAGTTTTCAGTTGCATATGTCCTGGGGACCATTCAGGCTTGTTCGCATATATATATATATATATATATATATATATATATATATATATATATATATATATATATATATATATATATATATATATATATATATATATATATATATATATATATATATATATATATATATATATATATATATATTAGTATATTTTGGTAGTAGTCTTTCCTGTAGACATATATTATTAAATATGACCTAAAAAGTAAGATTAATAATTCTAACACGAATTTTCTCAATTTTTCGTACATTTCTTTTCACTGTTGGAGGTAATTCAAAAATCAATTCTCCAAAATTCATTTTGATTTCTAGTCTGACGCGACACTTGAGCGTGTTTCGTAAAACTTATTACATTTTCAAAGACTTTAGTTTACACATACACAACTGAATTGAACTTACACATCTTCGATTTGTTTATATCTACATTTGAGTGAGGTGGATGGGGTGAGGTGGTATTAATAGGGTATTAAATTCCTAAACACAAGACAGAACACGAAACAATGGGTATTGAATGGAAGTGATTGTAGAAAGCCTATTGGTCCATATTTCTTGATGCTTCTATATTGGAGCGGAGTCTTGAGGTGGGTAGAATATAGTTGTGCATTAATTGGCTGTTGATTGCTGGTGTTGACTTCTTGATGTGTTGTGCCTCGCAGACGTCAAGCCGCCTGCTATCGCGGTATATATCGATGATTTCTGTGTTGTTTACTAGGATTTCTCTGGCGATGGTTTGGTTGTGGGAAGAGATTATATGTTCCTTAATGGAGCCCTGTTGCTTATGCATCGTTAAACGCCTAGAAAGAGATGTTGTTGTCTTGCCTATATACTGTTTTTTTTGAAGCGTACAGTCCCCAAGAGGACATTTGAAGGCATAGACGACGTTGGTCTCTTTTAAAGCGTTCTGCTTAGTGTCTGGAGAGTTTCTCATGAGTAGGCTGGCCGTTTTTCTAGTTTTATAGTAAATCGTCAGTTGTATCCTCTGATTTTTGTCTGTAGGGATAACGTTTCTATTAACAATATCTTTCAGGACCCTTTCCTCCTTTTTATGGGCTGTGGAAAAGAAGTTCCTGTAAAATAGTCTAATAGGGGGTATAGGTGTTGTGTTAGTTGTCTCTTCAGAGGTTGCATGGCGTTTCACTTTCCTTCTTATGATGTCTTCGACGAAACCATTGGAGAAGCCGTTGTTGACTAGGACCTGCCTTACCCTACAGAGTTCTTCGTCAAATTGCTTCCATTCTGAGCTGTGGCTGAGAGCACGGTCGACATAGGCGTTAACAACACTCCTCTTGTACCTGTCTGGGCAGTCGCTGTTGGCATTTAGGCACATTCCTATGTTCGTTTCCTTAGTGTAGACTGCAGTGTGGAAACCTCCGCTCTTTTCCATGACTGTAACATCTAGAAAGGGCAGCTTCCCATCCTTTTCCATCTCGTAAGTGAAACGCAGCACGGAACTCTGCTCAAATGCCTCCTTCAGCTCCTGCAGATGTCTGACATCAGGTACCTGTGTAAAAATGTCGTCAACATACCTGCAGTATATGGCCGGTTTCAAGTTCATGTCGACTAAGACTTTTTGCTCGATGGTACCCATGTAGAAGTTTGCAAACAGGACACCTAGGGGAGAACCCTTTTCAACCCCATCTACTTGCTTATACATGTGCCCATCCGGGCTCAAGAAGGGTGCCTCTTTAGTACAAGCTTGGAGTAGTTTCCTTAGAATATTTTCTGGTATGTCAAGAGGAGTACAGGCCGGATCACGATACACTCTGTCGGCTATCATCCCGATTGTCTCGTCCACAGATACGTTGGTAAACAGTGATTCGACATCCAACAAGGCTCTTATCCCTGTGGCCCGTGTGCCCCGCAGTAAGTCAACAAATTCCTTTGGAGACTTCAGGCTGAAGGCGCAAGGGACATAAGGAGTCAGCAGGCCGTTGAGTCGCTTCACCAGTTTGTACGTCGGTGTGGGTATCTGGCTAATGATTGGCCGAAGTGGGTTTCCAGGCTTGTGTGTCTTGACATTTCCATACGCATATCCAGGTTTATATTCCCCAATAATCTTTGGCAGGTGGAGTCTGGATTTCTTGGTTCGTTTCTTGGCGAACTTATTGCGGAAGGAGGAAAGAATCGAGGCAACTACAGAAGCACCATACTTTCCCCCGAGCTCAAAGCGGCAGCTAAAAGCCTTCGTGAGAACAAGGAGATAGTTGTCAGGAGAGGTGACAAGTCACCAATATACGTCATTCTTAAAAAAGACGAATATCTGGCGAAAATGAACCTCATACTCTCTGACCAAACTAAATTCCAAAGGGTAACGAAGGACACTACAGCCGAATTGAAAGCAAAGGTCAACAAACTGATCAAAACTGTGAACGCCAAGAAATCTGGACTCCACCTGCCAAAGATTTTTTTTTTTTTAACAGTGCCATCTGTTAGACGTAAGAGCAACACATACTGTAATCTCCGAAATTCTACACCAATTGCTTTGAAATTTTAACACAACATTGCATTCAAATAGGCGTATCTTTTTATATACCTACTACATAGATTGCACCCCTGTGACAGGTAAAAACTTGCGTTTTTGAAAAACAGCGCCATCTGTTGCACATAATGGCAACATGCATGCTATACTAAATATGTCACGAATTCCATTTCAATGTTTCCAATTGCATTGATAAATTTTATTTTCATAGATTTCGATTTATTTTGTTTTATTTAAATATTTTGTGTGACATTGTGTTGGAATTGAGCTGTGTTGTTTACCATATCGTTCATTTCGTAAGTATAAGTACAGATGCCACACATGCAACAGGTAAAACAATGCTTTTCTTAGAAAACAGCGCCATCTGTGCATGTAATATCAACACACATGCTATACTAGATATGTAACAATTCCATTTCAATATATCAGATTGCATTGATAAATTGAATTTTCATAGATTTTGATTTATTTTCAATTTGATTTAATTATTTTGTGTGAATTGCGTTGGAATTGAGCTGTGTTGTTTGCCAGACCATTCATTTCGAGAGTATAATTTTTTTTCATATTTTCATTTAATTTTTTAACTAGCAGTAACCTGCCACAGCAACCTTCAACAAATGCGAACAAGCCTGAATGGTCCCTCACGCGTGCCCCAAAGAATGAGGTGATTTGATAAAATGCTATGCCCAAGATTACCATCCGAGTGCCGGTGGGGAAGTGGTTCAAATAGCTTCCGCTATCACTTCCTTATGTCCAGTCGTGATGGTCAAGCGGATTAAGGCGTCCTGTACATACCAGTTGTGTTGCTTCTGGCAGTATGGGTTCAAGTCACTTCTGGGGTGTGAGTTTTCAGTTGCATATAGTCCTGGGGACCATTCAGGCTTGTTCGCATTTGTGTTCCTCACGTGTGCCCCAAAGAAAGATATGATTTGATAAAATGCTATGCCCAAGATTACCTTCCGAGTGCTTACGGGGAAGTGGTTCAAATAGCTTTGGCTATCACTTCCTTATGTCCAGTCATGATGGTCAAGCAGATTAAGGCGTTCTGTACATACCAGTTGCGTTGCTCCTGGCAGTATGGGTTCGAGTCACTTCTGGGGTGTGAGTTTTCAGTCGCATATAGTCCTGGGAACCATTCAGGCTTGTTCGCATATATATTATATATATATATATATATATATATATATATATATATATATATATATATATATATATATATATATATTTTTTTTTTTTTTGGGGGGGGGGCCTTCAGAATCATATGGTAGCCACTGCAATGGATGTAACTGTACTGTGAATTACTTTAGCAAGTAACTTCACATTCTCTTTCTCTGTTCAGGGATGTTAGTGGCATTGGTGGTCTTCCTCCTGGAGGTGCTGCCTCTCTTCATTCCTTCTGGCAAGCTGTCGCCAGGAGCCATAGTAGGAGAGTCATCACCCAGGGACCAATCTCCGTCATCTCCACACCCACGTTTACAATAACTTTTACCTCGATGTTTGATTGCCTGAGGCAGTACCTGTCATCCTTCACATTGTATTTCAACTACATGTTGCAGATCGTTGCAACTATATATGATGAATTTATTGTAGTAGATCACTTCACTATATACTGGAAAAAAGCACATCTTCAAACCTTGATTTGTACCCAAAATTAGATCATTGCAAAACATAAAGATTATTATTATTTATATGTATTAGTGTTTTTATATATTGACAATGACATAAATAATTGCTATCTATAATTTTACATTGTGTTTTAATAATATTACTACTTTAGAACTCTATATCAATACATAAACTTCTGATAAATTGTGTATAATTGAAGGAGATAAACAAGTATTTTTCTGTTGGTGAAGAAGATGTGTAGTCGTGATGGGCTTGTGATTAGCCTTCACAAGTCTACGTGATGTTGTTAGATCAGTAGCGCTGGATGCTTTTAGTGCTTAGTGAGTAGGACCTGCTACACTCATTCACTAGATCCGTAAGACTGGCAGCTATCAGTTGTTAAACCATTAGGATTGGCTACCCCTCAACTGTTAAACCCAGTGGAACTGGCTACTATCATTTGTCATACCAGTATAAGTGTCTACTCCCAGCTGTTACACCAGGAAAAACTGACAATGATCAGTTGTTATGCAAGTAACACTGGCTACTCTCAGCTGAAAGACCTGTAGAACTGCCTAATATCATTTTTCAGAACAGTAGATCTGGCTATGCCCAGTTGTTAGATTAATACTGGCTAACTATTGATATGAACAGTACAACTGCTATTCTCAGTTGCTAGACTAGTTGGACTGGATAAACTCAGTTAGGCCTGGCCAACCAGTAGGCCTGGTTACTCTCGATTGTTGGACCAATAGGATTAGCAATTCTCAATTGTTAAACCAGTAGGATTGCCTTCTCTAAGTCGTTAGACTAGTATGACTGGGTACCGTCAGCTGTTAAAACAGTAGGACATGGTACACTTAGTTGGAAAAACAAGTAGGACTGGCTACTCTCAGTTGTTAGACCAGAAGGTCTAACAACTGAGAGTATTTATTTAATCATCTAGACTGGCAACCTGCGTTTGTTAGACCAACCGAATTGGCTGCTCTCAATTGATAGACCAGTAACACTGGGAGCTCTCAGTACTTAATAAAGTGAGATATGAAGACTAAATAAAATGCTAAATAACTCATGTTAAACCACGAGTGCTGAAAACTCTCAAGTGTTAACCCACGAGCGTTGGCAACTCAGTTGTTAAGCGAAGAGTGTTGACAACTCTCAGGTGTTAGACCATGAGTGTTGACAACTCTCAGGTTTTAGACCAAGAGTGTTGACAATTCTCACGTGTTAGCCCACGAGTGCTAACAACTCTCACGGGTTAGACCAAGAGTGTTGGTCTAATAACTGAGTGTTCAGGTGTTGAACCATTTGTTTGACAACTCTGGTATTAGAAGAAGAAGAAGGTTGACAACTCCTTGGTATCATACAGGATATTGATTACTCAGTTAATAGACAAATGGTATTGACGACTCTCAGTTTTTAAACAAGGAGGACAGGCTTAAAATCTCTTATTAGCGCCAGTGTGTTGATAACTCTTCAGTCAACGGTCAAACGTCTCACGTAATAGACCAAGAGTGTTAAAAAACCTCAGATATTGCATCAAAAAGGGTTGACAACTCTGAAGCATTCATAAAACTCTTAAAGAGAGGTTTATTAACACTGGGAGTTATGTTATCAGAGTGGGAGTTAAGTTCCATGTGCTAAACTAGGAGAGTTAGCAACTCTAAAGCATTGATAACACTCTCAAAAGAAGTGTTATTAAGAATGAGAGTTATATTATCAACCTGAGAGTTAATTCCCATTGCTACACTAAGAGTATTAATAACTCACAGGTGCTACATTAAGAATGTTGATAACTGCCAGGTGCTACACATAGAGTGTTGATAACTCCCAGGCGCTACATTAAGAGTGTTCATAACTCCCGTGTGCTCTCGTAAAGAGTGTTAATAACACCCATGTGCTACACTAAGACTGTTGATAACTTCCCGGTGTTACACTATGTGTGCTGATACCTCTCATGTGCTACACAAAGAGTGTTGATGACTCCCATGTGATTCACTAAGAGTGGTGATAACTCGCAGGTGATACACTTGGATTATTGATAACTCCAAGGCGCTACACTAAGAATGTATGTAACTCCCAGATGCTGCACTACAAATGTTATTACCCCCCATGTGCTACACTAAGAGTGTTGATAACGCCCAGGTGTTACACTAAGAGAGTTGATAACTCCCAGGTGCTACACTAAGAGTGTTGATAACGCCCAGGTGTTACACTAAGAGAGTTGATAACTCCCAGGTGCTACACTAAGAGAGTTGATAACTCCCAGGTGCTACACTAAGAGAGTTGATAACTCCCAGGTGCTACACAGAAGTAGGGTAAAACGAGACAAATCGTAAATTGATTTTGAGAAATGGTTGGGCAGTGCCGTGCCGACTCGACTCCTGTGGACCAAATCGAGCAAAAACCGATTTTACGCGGTTGGGTTAGGGCACGCTTGACGTGCGCCCGGCTAGATGGTTGGGTGGGGTTGTGGTCCTTGCCCACGTCCCCCAAGCACCCCCCCCCCCTCCCAACAACCTCCCAGGGCGAACTTGAGCGTCTTGTGCCTTAACCCAACCGTTTTTTTTATGATTTGTCCCCAGGCTGTGGTATGAGCACTAAGGCATCAATAGCGGGGGGGTCCCTACTTATGAATGGTACAGAGGATGAATGTTCAATAGATTAAAACAAAAAAATTCACTGGTGAAAGGAATATAATTTTTTTTTAGGTATTTTAATAGGATGAGTATGTACTCACCTAATTGTGCTTGCGGGGGGTTGAGCTCTGGCTCTTTGGTCCTGACTCTCAACCGTCAATCAACAGGTATACAGATTCCTGAGCCTATTGGGCTCTATCATATGTATACTTGAAACTGTGTATGGAGTCAGTTTCCACCACATCACTTCCTAATGCATTCCATTTGTCAACCACTCTGACACTAAAAAAGTTCTTTCTAATATCTCTGTGGCTCATTTGGGCACTCAGTTTCCACCTGTGTCCCCTAGTGCATGTGCCCCTTGTGTTAAATAGCCTGTCTTTATCTACACTGTCGATTCCCTTGAGAATGTTGAATGTGGTGATCATGTCCCCCCTAACTCTTCTGTGTATGACTATCCACCTAGTGCTGGGTTGGAAGGCAATTAAAGTACAGTAAGAATGTGAAAGTGTTCAAGTTTAAGGCGGGGAGGGGGGCAGAGGATTTTGCACGAATGTGCAAACCCTGTGTTTATTTGTGTAAGTTAAAACAAAAAATTTAGTTTGTGTATACGAGTTTTTTTCTTGCGCAAAAAGTATGTGCAAGCTAGTGGTCTTGATGAGGATAAAAAGCTGGTGGCTTGTTTTGAGGTCTCTATTTTTGCCCTGATTTGTTTAAGTAAGTTTGTCTGAGTTTAAGTAAGATTGTGAAATTGTTTAAAGTTTAGGGGGGACTAAGTATTTTGCACGAATGTGAAAGCTTCGTTTCACATTCTGCATTTATTTGTGTAAGTTAAAACAAAAAATTGCGTTTGTGTATAATAGTTTTTGTGAAAATATGTGAAAGCAAGTGGCCTTGATGAGGATAGGAAGCTGGTGACTTGTTTTGAGGTCTCTCTCTATTTTTGTCCTGATGTGTTTAAGTAAGATTGTGCAACTGTTTTAAGTTTAGGGAGGCTAAGTATGTTTTAAGTTTGCGCGAATGTGCAAACCCCGTGTTTATTTGTGTAAGTAAGTTAAAACAAAAAATTTGAGTTTGTTTGTGTGTGAGTTTTTGCGAGCGAGTTTATTTAAGCACGTGCTATCATTAAAACTTCCAGAGAAATGACAGGAATGTTAAAAATGAATTAATTTTCTACTTTTTTAAAAGGTGAAGGTCTAACATTTTCTAAAACCCTTTGCACTTGACATCAAAGGTGACTGATGGATTCGACTTATAATTTTTTAGGCATGATAGCAAAAAACATGGTATAGCAACAGTAGCAACATTACAGGAGTTATTAGGGCCCCCACCACAATAGCTGTGATTTATTGTGCTGTTTCAAACATACAATTTAATATGGAATATGAACAGATTCCTAATATATATTAAATTGACGAGATCGAAAACACTCAATTATTTGGCCTTCATAGTATATTTACACGATGAAAACATACATATGGGGGTGTCAAACCCAACTCAACATGGCTGAGGCCCCGCTGTTTAGCAATTTTTTTGTATTCTATAAAATATCGCAGCTAATGTCAATGTTTTTAATGTTTATTACAAACGATAGACATATATTTGATGCTATTTTCCATATTAAAAAATAATTTGAGGCCCCGCAAATATATCTATAAACGTCTTAGAAGCATAAAAATGCAAGAATGTCTTTTTCAGGTGTACTCAACTGAATTCCACAGAATATGGAATCTTTACGGTGGCTACAGAAAAGAGTGCAAAGCCGAAGGGGGTAACTGGAATAAACAGTTTCAACCTGACTAACTCAACATATATACATTTTTCTTACCTCATTTATTAAATGTAAAGTATACTGCAAGCTCATTTTTCTGGCAAATATACTAAGGCATTTATTTTTGTGCTAGAACATAAACTTAGGCTCCTCATTTACAATATATGCTCGAGAATTATTGATTGAACACTAATTTCCCGGGAGGGAGCCGGTCGGCCGAACGGACAGCACGCTGGCCTTGTGATCCTGTGGTCCCGGGTTCAATCCCGGGCGCCGACGAGAAACAATGGGCAGAGTTTCTTTCACCCTATGTCCCTGTTACCTAGCAATAAAATAGGTACCTGGGTGTTAGTCAGCTGTCACGGGCTGCTTCCTGCGGGTGGAGGCCTAGTCGAGGACCGGGCCGCGGGGACACTAATGCCCCGAAATTATCTCAATATAACCTCCCCCATCAAAATACACTGAAT